TTTTTAATATTTTAATTTTGAGGCATGGCTTTGCCGAGTGCACCAGTGGCCTAAAAGGCATTAGTGAAATTAGTTTCTATTCTTATTATTATGGTACAGTTCAGACTTTGTTGAGTTCATCCTTTATGTCCTGGTCATTTAAAATTAAAAGGCATGCAGGTTCTGTAGGATTTTAAATGGTGGTTTTTAAAGTTGAGGATAGTTATCGTTAAGATGCCTCAGCAGCGGTCGGAGGCGACGGCCGCGGCCAGCAAAAGACGAGCAGAGACACAATTGACATCGATCAGTGCAACTGTTGGATGGGAGAAACAGCATGACAAACGTAAGTCTTTTCTTAATAAACAGCCCAATATATTTGACCATTTTCACTTTTAAATACCTCTTGAAATAAATGAGAGAAACCATTAACTTCTCATAATAATCCAGTTATTATAGTAAGTTCACCTAGGAATTCGAGATGCCCAGTTGTAAGTCTGTAAATATTTGTATATTGACAGGAAACGAGTTAAGGGGGTCTTCCTATGTGACGGCCTGTTTTTTAGGGATATTTCAGGATTTTTTCCTACGACCAGTAAAATATTAGAGCTTCAAGTTTTTTATCATTTATTAACACATATTTGGACAGTATATATATAAAATTTCTGCTAAAAATATTCAGTCAAACTAGAGCTACAGCGCTTTGAACACCCCCGCCTCGAAAAAAAGAGCTCCCACTTCCTTCCTCCACGAATCCGGCTGATCGGCTTATCTGAAAAAAAAAAATAAACGGCGTTTTAATTTGTAGGCTTAAAAGCACGGAATGACCTATAATCAAATGAATATAAAAAAATTGGATTTTGATAGACATTTGAAATAAAAGTTGCAAATTAGGCGTTTTTTTGTTTTTTGCTATAAAAAATCGAAGTTTTGAAAATTTTCGATAATAGTTCATTCCATTTAAATATATTGAGTGTGCCCTGTAATTTCAAGTAATTCGTCCAGCCGTTTCTGAGATACAATGGAGGAAAGTTTGAAAAACACAGTTTTGAGAAAACGCGTTTAAAGTTTCAACTGCCACTCAGCCGCTCCGAACCGCTCTTTCTTTTACCTGCTGTATCTTTAAAACGACTTCGAATTTCTAAAATCGCTTTACTACCGTATTCTAGACATGTTAAGGGAGCAATTTATGAAAAAAAATCGATTTTTTTCAACCCATCACATAGGAAGACCCTCTTAAAAGAATAATAAATAATGAATATACAAAAGAATATTTGTATTTAAAAAAATCCAAATCAATATAAGACCATGCTTTCGGAATATACTTTTTATACCATATAAGTAAATTATATATAGTTTAAACCACACTTTTAATTTCCATAATTTTACATAAGGAGAGTATCGGAAAATAAATCTATTTCTTATCTCTTCACAATTATCTTTGTTTAATTAACCTCAAATTTTTCAGTTCAAATTTTGCAAAAATAATGGCACTGACACCTTACCATATGTAGGTTTTGAGACAACTTTTAGGTGTCAATATACAAATATTTACAGACTTACAGCTGGGTATTTCGATTTCCGACATTCTTACCTAAGTCTTAAATGACTGGACTATAAATTATTCCAGTAGCACAGATTTTTAAAAAATATTAGTTTTGTCTTTCTTAGGTAGTTGAATATTTTCAGCCTTTTCAGTTTATATATACCTGTTCAAATTAATAAAAGAAATGGCAGTAGGTTTAGTATTTGAAAAACTTCCTTATCAAATATTCAAGTAGCACCGATTTTTTTTTAACTTCCTGTAGGGTAAGTTATAGTAATTCCAAAAAAAAAGAAAATGAAAATTTGCATATCTTTACGTTTCAGAGTTTTCTGAACATTCGGGCATACCCTAGAAAAAATTGAAGTGTGTGTGTGTATGTGTGTAAGAAATCGTAATCTCCCGTATAGAAATGACGAATCATTGGCACTCGAATGGGCCGTAACGCTTTTTCCGTTGCATTTTCACAGATTTACTTTCCTAGTCGCGCCGAAAAGTGTTACTTCAATAAATACAAGAAAGGACGTTAGATTCAGTATTGGAAAACTTTCTTATCAACTATTAAAGTAGCATCGATTTTTTTTAAAAAAATGATAGTTTTGTCTCTTGTTAGATAGTCGAATATTCAGTCTTCTTCATTTTTATATACCTGTTGAATAAATCAAAGAAACGACGTTAGATTCATTATTGGAAAACCTTCTTTATTACATACCTGTTTAAATGAATGAAAGAAACGACCTTTGAAAAGTATGTAAATCCTTTTCTTTTTAAAAATATTATACAGAGTGTCCCAGAACCCAACGTGAAACCGAATCGAGTTAATTATAACCACGTGAAACTAAATTAGAAAAAAAATCCATGCTGTTCGAAAATTATAGAGCTTTGGTCAAATCTGTAATAATTTTTCTGGTTATTGTGGTTAATTTTCATTATTTTCGTTCATTTAAGCATTGGAACTGTGAACCTAAATAACATTTCTAGAGTCAAAATGACAAAATTACCCAAGTTTTCTAGAATTAAGCTATTTGTTAAAATAACAAGCATAATTTTCAAAATTGTCGACTTTGAAAGAAAGATTTTCATGTTTTTTTTTGCTTACAATCAATCCTGTTTCTGCTGACGTTGAGTTCTGGGACACCTGTATATATTTTCAACTGTCCTTCTCAAATTTCATATCATTTGTTATCACAATTATCCGTTATTAATATTAATATGATGGTACACCCGATTATGGCTCAATGTTGAGTTCTGGTACACCCTATATATATATTTGCGACTGTCCTTCTCAAATTTCATAATTTACAATTATCAGTGTTAATATTAATATGACGGTTACAATCAATCCTGTCACCTGTTTTGGCTTGACGTTGAGTTCTGGGATACCCTGTATATATTTTCAACCGTCCTTCTCAAATTTTGTAATTTACAATTATCAGTTGTTAATATTAATATGATGGTTAAAATCATTCCTGTCACCTCGTTTTGGCTTGACGTTGAGTTCTGGGACACCCTGTAATATTTGCAACCGTCTTTCTCAAATTTTGTAAATTACAATTATCAGTTGTTAATATTAATGACGTTACAATCAATCCTGTCACCCATTTTGGCTTGGCGTTAGTTCTGGGACACCCTGTATATATTTTCAACCGTCCTCAAATTTCATAATTTACAATTATCAGTTGTTAGTCTTTTTAAAAGCAGATTACAATTTATAAGAAACACATAATTTTTATTTTTATTTCTGCTCAGAGAAAATTATTAGCAGAAAATAAATACATATTTATGTGGGATGTAATCAGATATTCTATTTCTCACTAAAGAAAATGCCAGTCTTATTTAGTATCATCTTTCCATCGCATATTTCATATAAAGTAGTAAATCAATAAATTAAATAGTTTTGCAGGATATGACCTTTTCTTTTATAGTACTTCTTAGAAAATTCTTTGAGTCATCATCGCTGGAAAAAATCTATTTTAAATGTGAACACAGCATCGTGGTACTTTACTCTTTGGAATTGAATAAAATGGTTATGGATGATATATCTTTATATATAAATTTAGAAATGAATTATCGTTTTACTTCGTAAATCAAAAATTAATGAATTAGTTAAAAGCGCGGTAATTATATATCAAAATTTTGAAACTGTAAATATGCTAATTCATATAAATAGAATCAGTTTCAGATTAGGTTGGTTCTTGCAAAGACTATTAATATTATCCAGGAGCATTTATATGTGATGTGCTTTGCAGTGGATAAACTATTCATATGTTATTTGTTAGCTGCTCTTTTCACTTACATACCAATTTGCAATGATTAGTTATTTTCATACTAGACATATTTATTATGGCAAAACAACGTTTGCCGGGTCAGCTAGTATATATATATATTATACGAGGTGTGTTCAAAAAGTACCCGGAATTACTAATAATTAAATTTTCGCGGGTCTGGAGTGTCTGATTGTCAAAATTTTTTTTTTATTGTGTTGGTATACATGCCCCTAAAGTATGATGAAATTTTCAGCTATATTCACTGTTTACTTTGTCTGTGGTAGTCGCTAAGGTTCGACGTGTTTTTCTGAGCTCGGCGATTTTTACAATGGAAGAATTGAAAAGTCAAAGAATTTGTATTAAATTTTGCGTAAAAAATGAAATAAAGTGTTGCAAAGTGCAAAAATTCACCAGATATGGCTCCGTGTGACTTTTTCCTATTCCCAAAGTTGAAGAGACCCATGAAAGGACGGCGGTTTTCCTCGATTGAAGAAATAAAGGCCGAATCGCTGAGAGTGCTCAAGGACATATCAAAAAGTGAATATCAAGGGTGCTTCGAAAATTGGAAAAAACGCTGGCATAAGTGTATTATATCTGGGGGGGACTACTTTGAAGGGGACCACATTAATGTAGACGAATAAATAAATATTTTTTTGAAAAAACGAAAATTCCGGGTACTTTTTGAACAGACCTCGTATATATATATCTAAAAATGTTAATTTGCAACCAATCGTCGAATTAAAAGAACAATAAATAATGAATTTACAAAAGAATATTTGTAATCCAACAAATCCAAAACAATATAAGACCATGTTTTCCGAACAAATGATTAGTTTAAACCATACTTTTAATACCAAGACTCCTATTATATTACATACGGAAAAGAACAGTGATATATATATATATATATATATATATATATATATATATATTAAAATTCAAGGAAATTGATTTTTTTTTTTGAAAACACATGGCTTTCCAATGGCTATAAAGATATTCTTAATAATGTTTTTTATGCTTATCAAATCGTACTCTGTCCTTTATAATACGCGCAGTTTAATTATAATGTGATCTATGATATTTTTGGCGTTATAGAAATAATAATATAATATAGAAACACGTATTGAAATAATTTTAGAGGCACATTAACGGATAAATTTGCTCTGCCATTTTACTCTACTTTAAGAGAAATATAAATTAATTTAATTTGGTAAGTCTAGATAATGTTGGGTTGCAAATTATGGATACTTCTAATATACGTCGCTTTTTTAATGATTTTTTTTTAATATTTCATATATTTGTCACAAAAAATTGAGACAAAAAATCACAAATCATCACGTGGGGTGGGAGGGGTATAGTAAGATATCACGTGTATTTATTTTTTACCTGTATTAAAAAAAAATCCAAACATTTTCAAAAAATATAAAAAAATTACTATTTTTCTCATAACTAAAAATACACATGATGTTTGGTCAGGGAAAGGGGTTATCACCAAGGGGGGAGGGGGCTACAAAAATCCTCAAAAAAATCGATCACGTGATTAATGGAAGCCCCCTATGAAAGCAGAAAAAAGCTAGTTTGTACAATACCAGATAAAATTAAAAAAAAAAACAATTACAAATTTGTTCAAAATTCATTCATGAATGAAATAATTAATATGAATCTAGAACGTCGTAAAAGT